TTCTTTCAAACAACCAGTCGACAGGGCCACTCTTTCGTGCTTCTCCCTGGGTCTTAGAGATTGTTTTGTGTTTGGTCCTCAGGCACAGTTGTGAACTTTTTAAATTATTGATTGCTGACGTCAGCAATTCCAGACTCTGATGAATGCAAAAGTTCTGGACTCAGCTGCTGAAGGTGATGAAGACCAGTACGTTTACAGAAACAGGAAGCATACAATAGTGAAGTGGAAGCATTTTCAGAACAGGGTCCCAGAGGTGGATATCAGGGGAATAGGCAGAGATTTGAACCCGAAGTCTGAAACGTGTCTGTCTTCCCGGCTTTCTTTGACTTGTGCCTTTGTTTCTCCTTGCTCTGTGGAAGTCTCTCTGGATAAGAGCCGGTATTTGTGGGTTGAACTCTGACACGTGAGTTAAAGTGACAATGTTTATTTGTAGAAGTGAGTCTCTTGAGTACCAAATCCTGACCGTACCTGCAATACCAGCAGGTTTGTTGGTACACACTTTGGCAAAAAAACAATTATTAACCAGCTACTGTTTTTAAAGTAAACATTTATACATCACAATATTACTTAAAAGCTTTTTTTGACAATAACTCAGTTCATCAAATGAAATATATTGCATAGATTAATTCTACACTGATGTTTTCAAGCTTTTATTTCTGTTCATTTTGGTGACTTTTTTACCTATTGCTATGAAAAAACAACAACTTTTCAAATACAATCAGACCAATATATTTTTAATAAGAAGATATGAATAGAAAGTTATGTTCAACGCCTGCTTACAAGTTTTATTTTCAATATGTGCTTTTATTTTGAAAAAAAAGCCTTGTCAAAATGCCTAATTGAATTTATTGAACGACGATAAATACAATAACAAATGTATTTTTTCCCTTATATAAAGACAAAATAGCACTAAAGGTAACTAATATTTTGTAGATCTTTCTTGTGATTGGGTTGCAAACTATGTGCTTCAGTGGTTCCTTGCACATGACAACAAATATCTCACAGGACACATTCGTCCAAAAATATAAAATGCTATTTTTCGAAAGGTTTTGTAACATTTGTAGGTCTAAGTGGCTCAACTGAGGGAAAAACTGGCTGTTTGGATTATAGATGTTGATGATTCCTAGACACACTAATCAAGCGAGGCATACATTTAGAAAAGCTTTAATTACACTTGTTTCATGGGTACCACTGAGGTGTCTATAACTGGGCAGTGTTTATATGAAGAAGCACGCAATGAGAAATTCACACTTTGCCAACAAGTAATTGAAAGGTTGGGGGTTAGGTCAAGGTTGAAATGAAACTATGTAAAGATAGATTTGGAACACAGTTAAAATTAGACGATGTTAATTACTGTTTTCCTTGATATACTGTGTGCCTCTCACTTGGCCTTTTTGTGGCAATAATGATGGAAATAACAGTGAAAGCAATCAGTTGGGAAAGAAAACCAGAGAAAACTGCAGCTAGGAATTTTTCAATATAACCTTCATGGTTTAAATGAAACAGCCAACTAAAATATATATCTAACCAGGGAGAGTCCATCCATCCATCCATCCTCATCTATTTATCCATTGAGGATCAAAAGGGATTGACCCTAATTCAAACCTTTTTGCAAGAGGAAGGAACATGATGAACAAGTAACCAGTTAATCACAGAACAGGGCAAAAACAAATAAAATGAACACACACAGACACACACCTACTCCTAAAGAGAGACCAAAAAACCTAAGATTTTACAGATAGAGAGAGAAGGCTGAAGTACCCAGCACCCACGCAAACATACAAAGAGCCTGCAAATTCGAAGTATAATCATCCCAATCCAGGATTCAAACCCAGTATCTTTTTGATGCAAGACAGCAGTTAATATATTCACTTTAGAAAACAGTTACATTTGTTGATCTCATATTCTGAGCACATGTTTTCTTTAATAGTCATTTGCAGGGGCTGCACAGTTAACAAGTCAATAAAATGTTCATACTCTGAAAAGCCCAGACTTAAGCCTGAAGTTACTTCACCAAGCTGCTGGTCTTACATCATCCTCCACTCCCCTGTGCTGCATCTATTAACACCTCTGATATTGACTTCCCACACAGTGGATGATATCTACCTTAAATCTTCAATAAATATTAAATGAAATGTTTACCTCTGCACACAGCATTTCTTTTGATTTCATGTTCTTTTTGCCATATGATTGAATCTATTATATAAATGGTCTCAAGACAATGACCATTACGGTTTCGAACAATCTCTGTTCGGTGTTAAATATTCTCATTATAGTTTGGTCAGAAAAACAAAGTTCTGCGGATTTAGAGCTGATAAAAAGCACTTCAAATTCTTTGAACAAAAGAAAATCTAAATCAGATAGAAATGTCATTAGCCAGCTGCAGCGAACCTCCATGCGATTTCTTCCACTGCTTACACTGTCCATTACACTCCAAATTAAATATACTTGCAAATAAGCAATAGATAGCTCACTGTGGGTGCAAATAGCACATCTTTTTCTTCTTCTCCATTGTTCTTGGAGTCCCCCATCTGGAAGCCCCTCTGGGAGCCACGTCACTGATATCAGGAACGGACTGGCAAGCTGATTTCCTAATGATGCAACCACACCGACCGTTTCTGGTGTGGTGGAATGAGGAATCCTAGGAAAACAGCTCAATGAAGACTAAAAGGATTTATAGACTGCATAAGTGCATGAAAGAATCAAAGCAATGCCCCAGGTATGTTTTTGATGAGGGAATAGCTATAACATGATATAAAGCTCATTAAATATTTTGTGCCACCCAACATGAAAGCAAAAACATCTTAACAAATAAATAAAATAAAAAATTAAAAGCTTGCATGGTTTCTGACAGCATTGGAACCTCTAAGATGGACTTTAATATCCAAGTGGGAGATCGTGTTAAGCTTGTTCCTGCTCTATTCTCCTTCACCCCAAATCAAATTTAAATCAGTTTCACTCCCCCTCCCCCAGTAAATGTGGCTGCACCACTTCGCTGTCACTGTTTGTTGGGTTGATGTGGACCACTGTGGGTACTATTCAACAACTCTCAGCTCAGAGACTCTGGGATTTACTCTAGCATAATATGCATCCCTTGGTTATTCTCATGCAATAAATGGCAATTACAGATCATTAGATCCTCTACTCCCGCCCTCCCAACAATGTACAATAAGAATCCTCCGTCATATTTCCATGATGTTGCTTCTTAAAAGTTTCAGGACCGTGTCAGGGGAGATTTCCTCGAGTGCAGCTTTCTGAATCATCTCTCCTGACATGTTCGCCCTGAATTAGAGATGATATACTGACTCGGGAATGTGTGGAGTAAATAGCAAGCTCTTCGTGTGTTGGGACGTAGTGCTGAAAATGTTTCATTGGAATTACAGATGGCTCTTGGATCATTGTGACTGAAGTGAGAGTAATTGGCTGAATGTAGATGACAGGCAAAGCTTCAAGTATTATTGCCACGACACATCTGGAAACTGAAGCTGCTGCCTTCGTTCTGAATGCCTCTGCAACTGTTATTTTCACAGAGCAGAACGATCTGTTGCACAGCAGATTTAGTCAGGAAAAAGAACACAACAGTTCCTCGTCAAGACAATGTGTCTCCTCCTGCACGATGTTCGCCCCGGTCCTGTTTATAGACAGTTTTCAATTAGGTGGCAAAGATTAGAAACTTGGTTAAATGGAGCAGTTGTGTTGAGGATACCAAACAACCAAAAAGGGAGGACAGAGGGAGAGACACTGTGGCGATGGACAAAAAAAGATTTCTGTGTTCCTTGTTCCCTTGAGCTCTGTGAGGATGTTGCGAGTCGAACCCATGCTGTGATAAAAGTGGGGAAGAGGAAACATCACACTCCCCTGTCCACCTGCTGTCTTCTCTCACATTCATCATGAGATGAACTTGTCACACAGGCCTTGCTTTGGTCAATTATCACCACATCCCATTTCTCACATGAGACAATAAAGAGACAGTCGATGTGATGCCGCTAGAAGTTAGGCAATTGGACGCTTTCACTGAGTCGTACAGTAGGGAAAACTTCTTCAAAGTCTGACTTTGTCACAAAGTGAGAAAATCAAATTTTATTTGTATAGCACATTTCAGCAGCAAGGCATTTCAAAGTGCTTTACATCATAAGCACAAAAACACAAAATCATGCAACATAGAACAAACAATACATTGTTACATATTACATTTCAAATACAATTCTAAACAGGTACACTGAAAAAAATAAGTCATTGGATGAACATAAAAAATTATGGAAAGGATTTCCACCTGATTACTTTGCTTTATTTCAGCACCATGTACTTGTGTTACTCCTATTTAAAGCAAATGTGTTAGGTCAACCTAATTTATTAAGATTATTCCAATGTAAAGCAAATGTGTTGGCTCAACTTGTTACAATGGTGATTCAATGGGTGATTCTAAATCAAACATGTTGGCTCAACATAATATATTGTGGTTATTCTTATATAAATTAAATGAGTTGGCAAAACATAATTCATTATGGTTGTTCTAATTTAAACCAAATATGTTGGCTTAACCAGAATTATGGTAATGCAATGGATGATTGTAAATCAAATGAGTTGGCTCAACTCCATTCATTAAGGTTATTCAAATTCAAATGAAATGTGTTGGCTCAACATATGTTTTAAAGGTTCCTTTAACTCAGTTACTATAGCGTGACCCAGTGTAATGCAATACAGCCAGCCCAACTAATCTGCAATGTTTAGGACCAAATCATTGATGTAACTTCATTAAGACGAATCTAGTTGAAACCACCTTATTTTACAGTGGTACCTTCACACTACCTGATTCAGTAGGTCCAACTCACTAAAAGCAAGTTAGCTCAACAAATATGCTTCATGCTAAAAGACAGCTAGTTATACGTGTGGAAATCCTTTCCATTATTTTATGACGTTAATTCAAAGACATTTTTTCAAGCGTTAATCAAGCATTTTAAGATAGCACTAGGTGAAAGTGTAGGAAGAACACTCAACAATTAGAAAAGGTACAACACAATTGTATTTTCAGAATTGTTATACATCGTTTTTTTACACAGCACAAAACACAGCTGAGTTGGACATTGAAATAAAAAAACAACTACAAAAGGTTACAGTTTCATTTCCCAGCCAATTCTTTACAACATAAAACATGTCAGTATAGTTGCTCAACTTAGAGAACTGTAACAATATAAATCTTTTCTACTGCAGACTTTAAACACTCATTTTCCATATGAAACTTTACTCAACTTAGCAGCGAGTTTCATATTGAGAACTTGTGCTTTCTTTGATAAATTCTTTCCATCCAATTTCATTATTATTTTCTGTATTACTTCAAAGGTATGCTTGAGTTACTGAGCAAGTTGAGTGCTGAACGCACTAAACTTGAGGGTAGCTCAAGTTTAGTGCGTAGATTAGTCCCAGCAGCATCACTATTGCAGAAGATACACTGCCCAAGCTGTTCATAACTTCCACCTCCTCCAGGACAATCCCAACATCCAGATGTGCATCAGCAGCCTCTGCTCAAATGACAACGATTCCGAGGACAGTCTCGGCTTTGGCCATTTCATTCATCAACGTCCTAAGGGAGTTAGGGAAGGGTATTGGGGGGGAGACAATTCACATGTAATTAAGTAAATAAATTAAGACTGACATTGATTGAGTCACTCATGGACCTTAGTTGGTGAAAGTATTTTAACAACTCTTAGGAGTTCTATTGTCAACACAAAGAGAATTTAACATACCATGTACTCCCTCACCAGCTTCTCTGGATCTTCATTTAGGTACACACAGACCTTTGAAGATGCACTCTCGTCTGACCTCAGCAGTGTCTTCCTAAATATGCAGATCAAAAAACAATGAGAACAATCTCAAAACTCCAGCAGTATAGGTTCACACACTTAAAAACATAGCTACATTCAAAGGAAGTCACAACAAAAGTGATCAGTGGCTTGCAGTCTATTTGAAAGATATTTAAAATTGTTAGTATCCCTTCATTATGCCATGACTAAAATGGAGTTTAACATCTCATTTAAACATCCAACTGAAGCTGTTAGAGGTTTAAATAAAGACATGAATATATCACCAAAGAAATATGTGAAAAGTACAGAATGGTCAACACAGTCTATATCCTTCTACTTAAATGAATATGCAAAGCATTCCATGTCTTACAAGTACATGGACAGTCTATGTGTGGGCATGGATAACGTCGCATATGCCGGTGTTTAAGTGTAAAAGTTTTAACAGGTCATATCTACGAGACAGAGAGAGACTACACTCCTTACATTTCCACATCCCCACGCAAATAAAGACAAATAAAACAGACTGGCCAAATAAATGTTTAGCTGAACTCTAGCTCTATAAGCTCTCTAACACTACATTCAGTAACTTTAGATCTGGCAAAACTTACTATTAGCCACTGAAATCTATAACTTGATAGCCGATGAGCCCTTGACCAGAACTTAAGCAGGTGGATTACAGACAGGTGATGTTCTGAAAGAGATCAGATATATTTTCAGCCATTAAAATATGCAATTCATACTGAACTGAGTTGTATTTTAGTACAAGTCCCTTGAATGCCTCATGAATATAACCACTGGACACATGCAAGCACGTATGTGCAGAACAATGGTGAATTGAACATGGTAGAAAGCAATAGTAACATAGGTCAAAATGAGCACAAACAACACAAAAAACATCAACATTTCAAAATTTTACCAATTTTACCAATGAACTTCAATATTGTTTCTGAGCTACAATTATTTGGGGACAACAAAGAAGAGTCCAAAAAACCCCAACATCTTTACAGCAGAGGAATATGTATTTTAAAGAAAAAAAAAAATAGAAAGCTCAAGTCTGTAATAATGGATAATCCATTGAGAGTTTTAACCTGACAAAATATACTAGAAATCCATAACTAACAGGTATTTTAGGAACATTTAACAAAGCTCAGAAAGCAATGCTTTCTGCAGGTTTCACCGACTGAAATGTAGGACTTTTTACTACCATAATTAATTAAGAATCTCGATGATGATAGAAAGGTACCAAAGTGTGTGTATCTACATTTACCTCCATAGTAACATTACTGAAATAGAATTAAAATAGTTAGAAATAGACTGATGTTAGATCCGTGTGTTAAAAATCCACTAAACCTCCAGGGAGCTCAGGAGGAGCAAAACTGTGACATTTCTGGGGTCCATTTGTGTCTCTGGCAGCAGCTTTGTGACCCTTACACTACATATGGCTCTGCAGACTTTTTTCGCACAGAATGTACCTAAACATGGTGCGGCGATAAATGTAAACAAAAAGCTATCCGCCTTAACCTAACCGACTTAATCTACAGAACATGAAATAATGTGACACAAGTATGGAACAAGTAGAAAATGGTAGAGAAATTTTAAGTTACATATTTTTATATGGATTTAGATGAAAATAGTTTGACTCTTACCTTCTTCAAATTAAGTAGATGCACGCCAGGAATCTCCCCTCTGCCCTTGAAAAAACCCAACAAGGTGCAAGCCAGTTATCTCGCGTGATTTTCCGTAATCTCTTGATGTCGCTGGATCCTCTTCAGCGGGAGATGAGTCTGACACAATAGCGCTTTGGAACTGACGTCACTGTTTTTTTTTATTAGATTAACTTTGACAAATATTGATATTGAATAAAATAATTAAAAAAAAACGTATATATATATATATATATATATATATATATATATATATATATATATATATATATATATATAGGTATACATCCAAAATATATATATATATATATATATATATATATATATAGGTATACATCCAAATATATATATATATTATATATATATATATATATATATATATATATATATATATATATATATATATATATATATATATATATATATATATATAGGTATACATCCAAATATATATATATATATATATATATATATATATATATAGGTATACATCCAAATATATATATATATATATATATATATATATATATATATATATATATATATATATATATATATATATATATATATATATATATATATATATATCTTGGCACAGCCAAGATACTGCGCAGGACCCTCAAGCTCCCAGGCCTCTGGTAGAGGACACGAGCTCAGAGGATAAGAACCACCCGCGGTGGGTATATATATGTTAATTAGATGTATTCAAGTTGAGATAACGTCATTCAATCACGTTAGTCCAGTTGAGAGAAAAAACCGATTATCTCGCGTGTTCTCGCGTGATATCCCGTGATCTCACTCGTTGTCCTCAGCACAATATCAGTCTAACTATAATGAATCATGTTAGCTCAACATGATTCAATTTTATAAATGTGAAGTCGTGGAATATCTTGCTTATCCAACATGATTTTATCACGTTTTCGCTTCAAACCCAAACATTATTGTGTGAAAGGTACATGATATTTTTTTGTTAATGTAATACGCCCCGACGTTCTTTTTTTTGGCGGAAGATCTAGCTGACGTAATTGAATCACGTTATCTCACCTTGAATACATTTTATTCCATTTGCGAGAGAAAACCGATTGTCTCGCGTATTCTCGCGTGAACTTGCGTGATATCCCGTGATCTCACTCGTGGTCTTCAGCATAGGATCGGTCTGACTATAATGAATCATGTTCGCTCAACATGATTCAATTTTATAAACGTTGAAGTTGTGGAATATCTTGTTTATGCAACATGATTGTATCATGTTTTTGGCTCAAACATGGAATTATTTAGTTAACAGTACATGATATTCTTTTGTTAATGTGATAACCCCTGAGGTTCCTTTTTTACAGTGTATGTTTTTAGTGGAGATTTAAAGGAAGTCAGGGTTTCCGCTTTTTTACAGTTTTCTGGAAGTTTGTTCCAGATTTTTGGTGCATAGATGCTGAAAGCTGCTTCTCCTCTTTTGGTTCTGGTTCTCGGGATGCAGAGCAGACCAGAACCAGAAGACCTGAGAGGTCAGGAAGGTTGATACAACAACAGCAGATCTTTGATGTATTGTGGTGCCGAACCGTTCAGTGATTTGTAAACTTCCTGGTTCTAGTGAGAACGCGAGCAGCAGCTTCTGGATCAGCTGCAGCTGTTTGATTGATTTGTTGGACAGACCTGTGAAGACGCTGCTGCAATAATCAATGCGACTAAAGATAAAGTTTCTCTAGATCTGGCTGAGACATTAGTCCTCTAATGCTGGAGATGTTCTTCAGGTGATAGAATGGTGACTTTGTAATCATCTTTGTTCCAGGCAGCAGTAGATTGTAGTTCAGGTGGTAACGTCATAGGAGGGTTTGTGAGCCTGTCAACTGTTGCAAATAAAGTTCGAGCATTTTTAATGTTTTTGTTTATGACATCTGCAAAGAAAGCCTCCCTTGAATGTTTTACTGTTGAGTGATAGTTACGTAGTCTTTGGAGATTTCTTCCTAATATAATAGTAATAATATAAACTTCTGCATCTATGGGTTCTTATATCACAGGCTGTATATGTGAGCTGAGACTCACACACAGAGGTGTATCTGAGCTGCCAAGTGACAGATAACTCTAACGCAATCTCCTTGACTCATTTACCTTCTGGCACTGCTTGTAGCCAGACTGCATGGATATCCACACACCATGGACTTTACTGCAAGCCGTTCACATCTCCACCTCATTTTCGAGATCTTTCACACCAGGGCTGGAGTTGGTGTGTGAGTACATCATCAATCAGGCCTGTGAAGGACGGTAAACATCTGGCGAACATGCTGCCCTATCAGGGAAAAGGCTGCAGACATTTGGGGACAGCATTTCAGATGGTATTTGGCAGATATGATTCGCTCAGTTTCTAACCTCTCGGTCTGGTCTTACTCAGACCCATATTATTATTTTTCCTCCTGGTGCATTGACCTAACATGTCTAGGAATAAACGTTACTCTCAGTTGTGTAACTGAATGGGTATAAAGCCGATTCAGTGTTAGATAGACATGATAGACATGCCACATTGCCCCTGTTTTTAGAAGAGAATACAATATAATAGAATAACATTTTATTGTCATAATCCATATAACGGAATTACAAATATCTCTCAAAAACTGCAGAGTCATACACAAATAAATCATCTAAATACACTGATCAACAACCACCTACTCCATGGGATATTGGCAATATGACTCACTGCCCTGGACAGCATCGCCTTGGAGGGGCTAGAAATCCTAAAAAAATAAAAAATACTTTTTGAAATATGTAGTCTGTCATGAGTTGGATACACACAAATGTTCTATTCCTTTTTCTGCATGTCAGCTCCATATGGAATACAGTGTAAATGCAAAGCAAAAACACAGTAGAAAATTATTCCTGGACATTGGAGCTGGAAATTTTATTGCAATATAAGAGTTAGCTTAAATCAATAAGCCATTTCATTGTTTGTGTGGGAATCTGTATTGCCTTACACTTTTAAGTCTGAAATACACTGGATCAAATTTCCTCAAATAATGTTCAAAAAACAAAACAAAACAAAAAACAGTGTGAGTGTAATTCATTTAATAAGTTGATTGTTTCACAGTTAATTAAATTGTGGTGTGCAGTTAATTTAACATAATAGATAGCTGGCAATTTGACAGAAGAGGCTTCGTCTGATTGGGTGATTTTGGCTCCGTGTGGGACGGCAGGAGGAACTGCACACTGTGCCATTCTTACAACATCAACTGGTTAAGAAAATTGATTCTCTTTATCACATCATGTCTGAAGGAAGCTGTGCGAAACTAACAAAACGTTGGACAAAAACGTTTTGTCAAAGTAAAGGCTTCAGTTCAATTTAAATTGAATGAGTTGTTGATGAAGTT